TTGTAAAGTTTGAGTTAGAATAATCTGTATAAACACAAAGCGGCTATAAAGGCGGACTAGTGAGTAACGTCTGTAGTTTTGTTTGTTACAACCGCCTTTTTAAGACGTTAAAGCATCAACATTCACAGGTAGGTTTTCATTCTCTGACATAAAATCTGTCAGTAAAGAACCAACCGACTTCGAGGAGAGGGAACTGGAGGAGCTGAAATGCTGACTCATTTCAGGGTTTTAGGACCGATTCATCCTCTGGAGATCATGAATGTCTGGACCACAATTTAACAGCTCGTCATCCAATGGTTAACATTCAGTCTGGAACTAAATCCAAGCAGCTAATGTGGCTAATCAACAGAAGAGTCAGTTCAAGTCTCGTTATTACCATTTCCTGTGTGCCAAAAGCTGAAGCCCAGTTGAGCAGCGTCTGTCCAACGTCGTCCATGAAGTTCACCTCGAAAGCTGCAACAGAGAGCGGAGAGGTTAAAACAACAACCTCTAAAGACAATATGTGACAAAAATACGATTTGTCAGGACATCAGATAACCAAGTTGAGGAATATTGAGGATAATCTTCACTAACTACGACTTCAACAGCGCTGTCGTGTCTGGGTTCTTACCTCCGGTGTCGATGGCGTCGATCAGAGCGTCCGTGTCCTTGCTGCGGATACAGTCGATGAGCTGTCGGTGCGATCGCTCCCCTGAACTGTCCAGGCGTCGCAGGCCGGGGATCCGCCCCGTCGACCCCGCTGTGGATTTGGGCAGCGCCTTCCGTCCCTCAAACAGCAGCACCAGCAGGAGGTCCACCAGCCGCATGGTGTCCAGCACGCAGCGCTCGTCTCCTCCCAGAGCGGACTCCATCGAGTCGGGCAGCGCCGAACGCAGCAGGTCCTGAAGGCGGGAGAGAAAGGGAAGATGTTAGACAATGCTGGAAAAGTTCTGTAAAATGTGGAGAAAAAAACTCATCCATCTCAAAAAAACCCTATTATTCTTCTGGTTTCTGGTGTTTTGATGTTTCTGGTGTTTGAGGTGTGTCGACCTACGTGCGTGACGAGCGGCGACCCTCTGCACAGCGTGGACAGCAGGCTGACGATGGTCGACACCTGGTTGCTCAGTTTGGAGTCCGGGGCCGAGGGGGCGGCGCCCGTCGAGGTCCGGCCAGGCTTACAGGAAGAGGCGGGGCCCGACACCGTGCCACCGGCAGCTGCCATGCGGGACAGCAGCTCCTCTGTCAGGCCGTGTTTGGCTAAAGGGGCGGGGTCCACGCCACGGCGAGTGAACCGGTCGGCCAGCGAGGCAAAGCAGCGCAGGGCGCCGTCGGACACCTGGGGGACAGGAAGTCGGTTAGTTCTACTGCGGTTAGTTCTACTGCTGAAGAACAAACCGTCGACTCCTTCGTGGTTACCTGGTGGTCTTCGTGTTTGAGGAGGCTGGACAGGGACTCGACGCAGGTCTCCAGAGACGAGTCCTGAGGCTCCATCTTGCTGCAGAGTCGGGACACCACGGCCATGGCCGAGTGCAGGGTGTCCTTGTGAACAAGATGGCCGCTGTCCCTGATGAAACTCAGCACGCAGTTCAGACCGCCGGCCTCGAACACAGCACCAGACTCCCTGGTACAGATCAGCTCCAGCACCTGGACAACAGAGATGGACATTAAGAGCCGGAGCGAGGGAAGCAACGATACACTCAACTCCTCATTCAGTACAACTCACTACAGGAGATTAAAATCTGACAGAAAGAAAATGTATTTTCTTTTATATTTACTTTACTTTTATTCCTCAGGTATAAAATGTGCAAAACAATGCATATATATTATTTTGTTTGCTGCATTTCTACTTCATGATACAGCTCGACTGCTCTCGTGTATGCAGAGCTGACCGTCCAGCAGTTGGCAAACACACAGGAGCTTTACTTTAAGGAGCTGCAGCCGTGCTGAAGGGATCCGATCCAGAGAAAGCGGCTCTACTCAATATGCCTCAGTTCACAGCTCAGGATTACAATACCACACAGTCACGTCGCTCTGGAAAAACTCCACTAATTAACCCAATTCGCTGCTGAAAGTGTCCAGTTAACAGAGACAGACAGGAGGCAGGAGATTAATAAAAGCAGGTAGTGAGATTAAATATTGCCCCGCTGTGCCTCTTACAAAGTAATACCGCGCTGCTGAGCCTCCCTCAATCACTGCCACAGCCCTACATGGTGCGTCTGTACACCATCATACAGATACTGATGTCAGTGAGGATAGGATGTCAAACACAGCTGAAAAAGAGCATCATGATTCATCCTTTATCTCACTCATTTAAATCACAATTACATTCCTAGAACTGGCTGAGTCTAAAGTAGAAGTCATGAATTAAAGGAAAAATGAAATGGAGGAACGTTCTCCTCCTCAAAAGACACAAAGAAGATATTCAAGATCGACCGTTTACTGCAGCAAACCGAGATCAAACCGCACCTGACTACACAAAAACAGATGATCTGATGGACAAACAGTCTCTATCAGTAGGACAGATCAGTGTTGAGACATGAGACACAGGCAGACTGAGGCCTGAATAAAGACTGCGTCTGTCCTGTGATGTGTATTAATAAACGTCTGCTAGCACATGGTTATGATCTCCTGCTTGTGGTGTGGCTCTGCTCCAAAACTCAACAGAGACACAGGAGCAGGCTGATCTCTGATCAGTTGTTCTCATCGTGCTTTGGCTTCAGTTAACCGCCTCCTTGACACACTGCCCCTGTTGAGGACATAAAGAGACAGCAGGGAACCCTTTATCCCCAGGGTTAAGTGTGATTCTGCAGGAAAGAGCTCTTACACCAGCAGTTTGCCACAGCTGCCTCAGACAAAATGGGTCGACGCTCGTAAGTCAACCCTCCTCTGAACTGAAGACCTCAACCAGCAGCAAATGTGGCTTTGGGGAACTGGTGTCTGTTAAATGTTTAAACTTCCTGTGTTAGAGCTCCAGTGCTCTACAAACATCATTGTGTCCTTCTGACGTCCTCGTACCTTCACACACTGCTCGGCCAGGTCTCTGCTGGTCCGGTTGTTGAGCTCCACCACCACCAGCCGGTTGCACAGCGCCTTGATGGCCCCGTCCACTCCCACGATCCTCCGGGTGCACTCCGCAGACACGTCCAGGTAGTAGGTAATGGCTCTGGCTGTGACCTCCAGCACGTTATCTGGAGCGCTCTCATCCAGGAAGATCTTACAGAGCGCTGGGAGGAACGTCCGCGGAGGACACCTGCAGTGGGAGAGGAGGGAGGAGGAAGAGG